TCAAAGGTCTCGTTTATTTTATCGACCTTTTCTAGAAAATTCTTGAAAAACCTTATAACCATGGTTTTGAACTCTATATCCAGTCTTTTGTTCTCCATCTCTTTCATTTGAGATCTATATCCTTGTCTTGGCATTTTCGCTGCTTCCCAGAATTGGTTGGATGGCTCTGTGTATTTGGTGTCCTATATGGCTCGGTTGGTCAGCCTCCCCAGTTACCTGAGGAAAAACACTCTTGGTGTACCCCTTTGTGGACTGCGTGTACAGCTTTGTTGTAGTTAAGTCTTGATTGTTGTTGGTATCACTGGGAAGAATTGACCTCCAGGCCTATTGGATGCATCAGCTGTGTCTACACTGGGATACCTTCTGTATTGGAGACAGTCTTATAGGATCAGACTTGCAAAATTGCAAAAACCTCTGAGCTCAGCTTAGATGGGGTGGAGTCTCAGGGTTGACCCGCCAGTCTTGGCTTCCTGTCAATCCTGTCCTTGTGTGCGTGCCTCGACCTCTGCTTTTCACGGATCCCCTGAGTTCCTCCCTCACAGCCCAGATTCCCCTTGTAATAGCGTGGGTGCCCCAGAGGCTCACCCTGAACTGGGTTTCAGTGCTAAATGCAATCAGAACTGGGGATTCAGTGCAGTTAGGAACTTCGGACTCCTTCTGCTATGGAGAGGCCTCAGCAACCTCCACGGTCAGACCTCTCTGCACGCACTCACTTGCATGCTGTGACTCCCAGTCTCTGTGTCTCTGGGTGCCTTTCTCTACAGTCCAGACTCCACCTGTATGAGACTGAGTCCGTGGGGTTTCGGCCATGGCTGGGGTTCAGTGCAGTTGGAACTGGGGTTCAATGTAGTCGGGGGCTTCTTTTCCCCTCCTGCCAGCCCGGCACTTGGTTGCCCTTCCTCTCTGTGTGAGAATCTCCCTACCTCAGCACTTTGTGGCTCCCGATCTGATCCATGAGCCTCTCTCCTTCTTTCTAGTTGTAGATTTCCTGCTCAGCCAGCTTTCCTGTGGTTTTGGATGATGTCTGTTCTGTCTTTTAGTTGTTATTTTGAAATTGTTGTGTGAGGTGGCAGTTTAGGCACTTACCTAGGCCACAATCTTGGTTCTTGCCCCAGCCAACCTCAGAGATTTTAGCCATATTGATGGGCTTCTTTGCTCTGGCCCTGACCCCCTGGAGGAAGGTCAACCAATATCTTTCTAGCCCCGCCCTTCATTCTTCTGAGTTTGGGTTCCAATCGGATTCCTCATCTGGGAAGACCTTCCTGGCCCATCTGTCTGTATCTAATATTCCTGCCGGGGCCTGGGTTTGGAGCCACTTCCGAGCCTCTGATACTACTCTCATGCGTTCCTCAGTGTTAAAGAGCGTGAAAAGGAGCTGCTTGCAGTCCACCCAGGTGGGCTTCTGGGTCTGGAAGACCATTTCTAGGCGATCTATCATGGCCTGAGATTTTTCAGAATAAGCTGGGGTGTGATGTTTCCAATTCAGGATGTCACTTGTGGTAAAGGGCTGATAATAATAGCCTGGCTCTCCCTCCTGCAAGGTCCCATCTTTGCCAAGCACTTGAACATCCCGAATCTCCCTATTAGGTATCTGACGTGCTGGTTGTGGCTTGGGCCCTTGATTCGCTGAGTGCAAATGCCACCCAACTGGCTCTGGAGGGTCCGGTTGAGGAGAGACGGAGGTGAGTGGTGTTTCTAGACTTTCCGGACCTTCCAGACCAACAGGGGAGCACTTGGTGCTGCCTGTGGCACATATGGAGGTGGTAAAACTGGAGGGACTTCCTCAGGGGGTCCTGGCAGAACGGGGGGTTGGGTTCCCTTTTGAGGGACCTGTTTCTTTTCTCTTGCCTGCTTCTCTTCTGCTTTCTCCTCTCCTGCCTGCTTTTCCTTAGCCTGCTCCTGCCCTGCCTGCCTCTTCACTCCTGCTACTAAATCTTTACTCTGTCCCTTGTTACACACGCAGAACTGGACCCAAGATAGCAAGGTTTGAGCAATTTCTAACCAGCTGTCTATGTAGGGAATCTGATTGAGTGTCCAGGACCTTTCGTGATTACATTCCAGACCGCCCTGGTCCCTTATCTAAGGGCCAACTGACCCCAAAGGCTGGCCATTCTACTTCCCAAAATTTCCTCAGTGTTTTGGGGTTCATTTTAATACCATAGTCTCTATTGAAATCCTTTTCAACATTTTTCAACATGCAATTGAGAACAGTGGGTTTACTCTGTCCCGACCGCATGATGATCAGTGGCGACAGACAGACGAGAGAGGGGGTGACCTGTTTTCACAGATCATCACTCAGATGCCCACCTGGACCTTTCATAGGCCTTGCAGCTCCCCCATGTGTTGGGATTGGGGAAGTGAAATTATACCCAAAGGCCTGGCCTGACGCCAGTGCTGATAACCCCCTCTGGGGTTTGTGTATGGTTCATGGTTTATGGCCTCTGTACCAGCATTACAGACAAGAGGGATGGGGCTCAATTATGCTAGCAAGAATGTGCAGCAGAATACTGGTTTCTGGCACAGATTCAGATTGCTAGCCCGAACCCTCCACCCCCCACTCCCACTCCCCAAATGTCTTATATTCCTCTTCAGTATAACTGGGGCAGGAATAAAAAAAAGAATTGTTTTAAGAAAATGTAAAGTGGACCATGTGATGAGTTTGACAAATGTCTATTGCTATGTTTTATTTTATTTTTTGTTACTTTATTGTTGATAGTATTACATATATCTCCCATCCCTCTTTATTGCTGTGCTTTAAACTGCATTTGAAATTGGAACTATATAAAGAGACATTTAATTTACATAATCTATTTTGCTGTTTTCACTTCCTCCTAAAACTAGTGTGGTTTTATTTTGTTTGTTTTCTGACAGAAAATGATTAATTAAAAAAAAAAAGTAAAAGATCAGTTTACAGATTTCCAGTGACAGAGACTTAAAAGGGGGCTAAATAATTCTGAAGGTAAAAGTTCAGAGTTTTGTTGCCTAAAACTTTATTTTCATTTGTTACATAAGAAGCATGTTTGAATTTGGAGTCAGGAAGTCTGAATTTTTGACTCAGTGCTGCCACAGGTACACTGTATGGCTGCTGGCTCATGACTTCACCTCTGTGGGCTAACGATCTAACATTTTATGCTTTGGGATACCTTGATTCCACTTTTGATTATAGCTTTACCCTTTACTTACTGACTAATCCAGTCTTGATTTCTTCTGTCATATATATCAAGAGTGGTTAGATCCAAACATGATGATGAACTGGGCTAGTTTATGCACAAAACACATTGCCTGGGTGCCATGACTGCACTGGACAGCCTACCTGGATCAGCTCTGTTCCCAAGGGTTCAAAATCCACCTTCTCCTGGATCTTACCTAGTCTCGCCTCCAAAGATCCTTCCAGATAGTGGCTTGAAATGTGACTGACTTGGTGACAAGAGCTGTTATTTCTTTTCATTTCCCAAAAATGTTCTAAGCACTGTCTCTTGTTCAGGGCACTGCTTTTCACTTGCAGTTGAAGATTATCCTGGAAGATAAGTCACTTTGGCAATTCCTTAACTGCCAGAACTCTACCCTGGCTGAAAACTCAACCCTGCATCTCACCTAAAAAAAAAAGAACAACTCTAAAGCCACACTCCCACCTGGTGCTACTCTAATGCCACTGGAGCAGTCTTCAATTCTCACGGAGCATTCAGGGCTAATATTCTGAATTCATTTAAGAGTTTAGGATTGGGACTGAGGAAGTGGGTCACCCTGGCTCAAACTCTGCCCAGTACATCACCTCTGGCCACACCTGCTCCTTCTGATTCTGTAAAGCATGAGAAATAATACTCCCCCCCCCCCCCCCCCAAGCACTGGTACTGTCAGAATCCTGTAACACCACCAACAGTCCATGTTCAGGGAAGTGAGTTTGGACCCTAATGTGGCCACTGACTTAAGCACGATTTTGGGCTGTTTCCTTCTGTGGCAATGGTGAGAGCTCCCGGCCCAGGTGACAGTGCAGCCTCACTGCCTTGCTCACAGGAGGCACACAGTAAATGCCCATTATTCAATCTGGAGAATGAAGTACAACATTCAGTTTTGAAAAATATTTATTAAAAAACTAAAGTGAATGTGGCAAAAATCAAAACAAAACCCCCCAGACACACACCTTTAAGTAGTAAGCATATGACATTGGTTATAAAGCTTTTTCCACTTTTTTGACCTAGTTTTTCCCCACCATCTATGATTAAGGGAGGCCTCTGATGGAAGCCTCATGTAAACAGCTCTCCTGTATTAGTGATGAGCAAAAACTAATTATGTGAGGACTATCAGTGGACATAGGACTCACTTTCCTAGATAATATACACCAAACACAAGAGAAAGATCAAGTCTTGGGAATGTGTTCCTGGGGACCTATAGTTCTAGTTTTAATTTGGGCTGTTGGGGGATGAAATAGTAGAAAGACAAATAGTATCAGTTGAGGGCAATTATAAAAGCACCTTTAAAATCTGGACCCTTTCCCCACAACTTAACCCAGTAATTCTCAAACTTGACTGTTGAAAAAATCACCTGATGGGATTGTTAAATTCACAGGTTCTCAATGTGCATGTATAAGCGTACTCCAGGTGACTATGCATACTGATTAGCCTTCCAGTTTGAGAAACAGAAACAGTTTAAAATGCACTAAAAATAATTCCTATCTGCTAAACACAAGATGAAAGCAATCTTCTGACAGTCAATTTGGAAGGACCAATTAAGGGTGGCAGGAAGAAGCCTCCAGTTCCTAACCTACTGGTCTGTCTACAGGAGCCCTGAGCAACCAGTCAAGGGCTATTCAGGAAGTAAAATTTAATAATCAAGTTAAACAGGCCAACAGCATTCACCCCAGTTTAATGAACTCCATTGGGCTGATGTTCAAAGAGAAACCAAGGTAACTGGGGACCTTGACTTGTGAAGACATAGTGAATAAAACATCCATAAAATCCTTTATTAACCATAGAGCATTATGCCCAAATAATTTCACTGCATCATGGACAACATGTTGAAATAGTCACATTGATTCCAAGGTTCCCATTATCTGCAAAAAGATGTGCTATGGCTGTGTCAAAAACCAGGCAGTCGCTGTTCATGATGGCCGCAGCCACACCATCATGGATGGATCGGGGCGTGGCCTCCCAGGTCAGCCTCCGGCGGTTCCCATTCAGCTCCAGTCTGTAGGCAAAGTTCTCGGCCTGCTTGCGAGTGCCGATAAGCAGTACTATGGCAAAGAACTGCTGGTGGCCTTCGTACTTCTCTTGTTTTTCTAGCACCAGCATGAAGTGATGGCCAAAACATGATTGCATCATCACCCAGTCGACAGCCCCTGGCAGGTTAATGTCTGTAGCTAGAAAGACAATGTCTTCTCCCTGAAGGGTGGTAATGCTCTTGTGGGCGTGCATGAGATGGGACATCACAGCCTCAAGGGACCCCTGCCACTTGCAGGAAGCACCAGGACAGGGACAGGAGTAGGGTCGGTATTCACAGATGTCTTCATGCTCTGGCTTCTCTGTGTGGTGAAGGGTCAGGGAGCAGCCTGTGGTGGCATACTGTGAGGACAGAAACAAACACAATGAGCCATGGGCTTTTTCAAGTTATACTGGGGTGAAAAGAAACACACATGGCAGCCAGCAGGACGAGAGTGAGGGAGAGAGTGAGTAAATAAGGGAGTGGGGAGTGTGTGGACATGTATGGTATGTAGCGTGCAGTGTGTGTGTGAGAGAAGGGTGAGTTAGATCTTGCAGGAGTCTTGGGGCTGGCAGATCAGGCTCCTGGTGGGGGAGCCCCTGCTATAGCCATAGGTACTTCCCCAGCTGCGAGGCTCTGGCACAGAAACTACATCATTATGAAGGGAGAGCAGCTGTATCTAGGGGTGCAGCCACACCAACACCTAGACTGGCTTTGAGTACCACCTTGGACCCAGAAGTGAGCCACAGAGTGCATGCCATTCCAGCTAGAGTCATGCCACCCTGCCCGCTGTCTCTGGGACCCTTGCAGTGAGTTGCTGAGTGAGCCCCAAAGTTGTGTCACCTCACCTCAGCCACATTGGGACCCCTGCCTCCCCAGCCATGGGCTCTGGGACCCTATGTGTGTCATGCTACACCTCCCGTGAGCTACAGGACCCTGCAATGTGTTGTACCACTCTGGCAGTAGGCTTTGGACCACAAAGTGAGTCCCACATCATGACCCCGAGCACATGCACAACAACTTGCATGATGAAGTTGGGTGTGAGTTACATAGTCAGACAACCTGTAAGGAAACTCTACCCAATGAGTTTGAGACAATAGCATTCAAGGTCCAACTACACCAAATAACTCAAGTAGTGGGCCTTCCCAGAACACCCAACTCCAGGAGATCTGAGAGACTGCACTACAGGGTTCCACAGAACACCTACTTCATAGGAACACCCCTATGTGTGGCATAGCAATTTCATCTAAGACATAGAAACAAATACAATGAGACAACAAAAATGGGGTGACAAAGAAACAATCCCCAAAAGGAAAAAAAGGAGGAATTGCCAGAATTCCTAAAAGAAATAGAGGCAAGTAATTTGTCAGAAAAAGAATTCAGAGTAATGGTAATAAGGATACTCAATCATCTGGATGGCAAATACTCTCCTGGGAGAGTTTTCTGACTTGGCCAGTCCACCCCTTAAACTACTGCCTTAAGAGGGTACAAATCAAACCTTTTCTCCCTTAAGCTCAGGATGACATTCCTGATGGATAATCATACCTATCACAGGAAAAGACCACATGAAAAGGAATCAGATATTTGTTCCCAACTTCCACAAAAATGACAATGTTCATTCCTAGCTAACAGATGGAGACAGTAGACACTTGCCTGGAGTGCTATGCAGTTGTCTTGTAAAGGATGAGGAAGCCTGAACACCTTTTTGGGTGAAGCTGGAAGTACGCCTCAGCACCCTCCAGTAGCAGTGGCAGGCAAGGTGTAGGCTTATCCACTTGGACTTCCCCACCCACTTTGGAAACAAGATACCAAATGAGGGCAGGGCCAGGCCATTTTCCAAGATGCTGTGTCCAACTGCTAAAATAAATAAATAAATAAAAAAAATCCCACAGCTGTTTTTGCTTCTCTCTACCCTGCCATAGAGATTCAACCCCTTATAAACTTTAAGTAGGTTAACTTCAGAGTTTTACAGCTGAATTTATCATTAGCAATAAACAGGCATTAGCATCTTTTCCATTTAAGACCCCAAGCTATAGTCACTGAGGGTACAGAAGCAATGAAGCCAGTCTGCACGCCCCTAATAAAGGAGAGAACTGGCACTCACATTTCTTTTAGAGAAAAAAAATTCAGCTCATTCCTCCCAGACCTAAAGTGGTTGATGATAATCTTCAATAGAAATTGGCAGAAATTTCACTGTTATTTACTTTGCCCAGAGGAACTGCTTATTCATATTTTTAACATGGACTAATTTCAAAAGCATGGGTGTAAAAAATTTAATTAGAGGAGAAAAACAAGTTTATTTACCCATGTATGTTAATATTTTGTGTTCCTAACAAATATAAGGTCCTAATAAGCAAATTCCTATGAACTGTGTTTTAAATCTAGGGTACAGCTAGGAATAAAGAATCTTCTGAGGTTCTGTGAGTGATGAGTGAGACATTTCTGTCTAGAGTGGAAAATACATATGCAAGTATTAATCCAGAGCCTGGCAGATTCTCTGGTTAAAATATTTGGATCTGAAAGCATTTCAGAATGGGCTGTTTACCACAGCTGCCCCTACTAATTCCAGGAGCGCGAAGAACTTTGGCAGAGGGTCCAGAAAAGCGCCACCTTACATCTTCCTCAACTAAAAGCCCCAAACCACTCCACCTTCACCAACTTAATGCGCAGCAAACATTCATCACCCTGCAGTCATTTTAGAACTTTTTCTTGTGTAACTCAAGTAGAAATATTTATATTCTGAATTATTTGGTTTGCCTTACAAGTCACACACTGTCCTTCAACCCAAATATAGAGAACAGGGAACCTCCCCAAATTATGCAGATAGAAAAGGCATTACTTAGCATTTGTGCAGACAATGACCTTATGAAGAAAGGCCATGCCTTCCATGAACTTAAGTATTTTTCAAGTGTTAGGTGCTTACTCCATGCTTTTTCTAAACAAGCTGAACTTTAAAGCTAAACTATTTCTTTTCTTCAATCACTGGAGAGGGGCATCTTCATGATCCCTGATGTCACTTTTATGATGTTTGAATTAGAGATTATTCTAAAAAGAAAACATCTAGCTGAAACCTGTTTGGCTCAGTGGATAGAGCATCAGCCTGAGGACTGAAAGGTCCCAGGTTCGATTCCGGCCAAGGACATGTATCTTGGTTGCGGGCACATCTCCAGCAGGGGGTGTGCAGGAGGCATCTGATCTCTGTGTCTCTCTCATTGATATTTCTAACTTTTTATCCCTCTCCCTTCCTCTCTGTAAAAAATCAATAAAATATTAAGAAGAAGAAGAAGAAGGAAAGGGAGGAGGAGGAGAAGAAGGGGGGGGAGGAGGGAAAGGGGAGGAGGGGAAGGGGGAGGGGGAGGGGGAGGAGGAGGAGGAGGAGAAGGAGAGGAGAAGGAAGAGAAGAAGGAGGAGGAGAGGAGAAGGAGGAGGAGGAGAGGAGGAGGAGGAGGAGGAGGAGGAGAAGGAGAAGAAGGAGGAGAGGAGGAGGAGGAGGAGGAGGAGGAGGAGAAGAAAGAAGAAGAAGAAGAAGAAGAAGAAGAAGGAGGAGGAGGAGGAGGAGGAGGAGGAGGAGGAGGAGGAGGAGGAGGAGGAGGAGGAGGAGGAGGAGGAGGAGGAGGAGGAGGAGGAGAAGGAGAAGGAGAAGGAGAAGGAGAAGGAGAAGGAGAAGGAGAAGGAGAAGGAGAAGGAGAAGGAGAAGGAGAAGGAGAAGGAGAAGGAGAAGGAGAAGGAGAAGGAGAAGGAGAAGGAGAAGGAGAAGGAGAAGGAGAAGGAGAAGGAGAAGGAGAAGGAGAAGGAGAAGGAGAAGGAGAAGGAGAAGGAGAAGGAGAAGGAGAAGGAGAAGGAGAAGGAGAAGGAGAAGGAGAAGGAGAAGGAGAAGGAGAAGGAGAAGGAGAAGGAGAAGGAGAAGGAGAAGGAGAAGGAGAAGGAGAAGGAGAAGGAGAAGGAGAAGGAGAAGGAGAAGGAGAAGGAGAAGGAGAAGGAGAAGGAGAAGGAGAAGGAGAAGGAGAAGGAGAAGGAGAAGGAGAAGGAGAAGGAGAAGGAGAAGGAGAAGGAGAAGGAGAAGGAGAAGGAGAAGGAGAAGGAGAAGGAGAAGGAGAAGGAGAAGGAGAAGGAGAAGGAGAAGGAGAAGGAGAAGGAGAAGGAGAAGGAGAAGGAGAAGGAGAAGGAGAAGGAGAAGGAGAAGGAGAAGGAGAAGGAGAAGGAGAAGGAGAAGGAGAAGGAGAAGGAGAAGGAGAAGGAGAAGGAGAAGGAGAAGGAGAAGGAGAAGGAGAAGGAGAAGGAGAAGGAGAAGGAGAAGGAGAAGGAGAAGGAGAAGGAGAAGGAGAAGGAGAAGGAGAAGGAGAAGGAGAAGGAGAAGGAGAAGGAGAAGGAGAAGGAGAAGGAGAAGGAGAAGGAGAAGGAGAAGGAGAAGGAGAAGGAGAAGGAGAAGGAGAAGGAGAAGGAGAAGGAGAAGGAGAAGGAGAAGGAGAAGGAGAAGGAGAAGGAGAAGGAGAAGGAGAAGGAGAAGGAGAAGGAGAAGGAGAAGGAGAAGGAGAAGGAGAAGGAGAAGGAGAAGGAGAAGGAGAAGGAGAAGGAGAAGGAGAAGGAGAAGGAGAAGGAGAAGGAGAAGGAGAAGGAGAAGGAGAAGGAGAAGGAGAAGGAGAAGGAGAAGGAGAAGGAGAAGGAGAAGGAGAAGGAGAAGGAGAAGGAGAAGAAGAAGAAGAAGAAGAAGAAGAAGAAGAAGAAGAAGAAGAAGAAGAAGAAGAGAAAGAAAGAAGAAGGAGAAGAAGGAGAAGGAGAAGAAGAAGAGAAAGAAAGAAGAAGGAGAAGAAGGAGAAGGAGAAGAAGGAGAGAAAGAAAGAAGAAGGAGAAGAAGGAGAAGGAGAAGAAGGAGAAGAAAAGAAGAGAAGAAGAAGAAGGAGGAGGAGGAGGAGGAGGAGGAGGAGGAGGAGGAGGAGGAGGAGGAGGAGGAGGAGGAATCTAAACTTTAGCCCTGGCTGGGGGGAGGAGGAGGAGGAGGAAGAGCAGGAGGAGGAGGAGGAGGAGGAGAAGGAGGAGGAGGAGGAGGAGGAGGAGGAAGAGGAGGAGGAGCAAATATCTAAACTTTAGCCCTGGCCGGGAAGCCCTGTTACAGGATTCCAGGGCAGGAGGAATAGAGAAACTTAGACAGGAAAGTTAAAACAAGTTCAAACAGTGTGAACAATTTACAGCCAGCTTTTAACTAACAAACTATCATCTCCCTGAACCAAGGACACCAGAGCAAATCATTAAAAACCTCCCTAATAAGAGAATGCAGAAAAGGAGGGAGGTAAGAGAAAGAAAAAAGGGCCGTTTTACTCCCTAAGCAGAGAAGCCAGCAGTTTCAAGACTTAAGGTAAAGCTG